CCCACACCCCATAGTCCCCTCATGCTCCATAGCCCCCCACTGCAACCCATAGCCTCCCATTGCACTCCGTACTCCCCCATTGCACCCCATAGCCCCTCCATACCCCATAGCCCCCACAGCTCCCTCTCATCCCATAGCCCCCCACTGCAATCCATAACCCCCTTGTCCTGTAGCCCCCCATATCCCATAGACAACCCCATCCTCCATAGACCCCCCATGCCCCACTGACCCCACCGAACCCATTGCCCCCCATTTACAGCTCCCCCCTCCCGACCCATACCTCTCTGGAGGCCACGCAGGCCACGGGCGCGGGAATCAGGGGGCAGAGCCCTCCAGCCCCCGCTGTGGTCCAGGTAGCGCAGGGCGGCAGCACGGGGGGCTAGGGCCATCAGCGCCTGCTCCCCACACCCCCGCGGGGACCGCAGCAGCATCGCCCCTGTCCCCAGTGCCCCCCGCACCGCCCAGCCCCCCACTCGGCCTGGGGGGAGCCATGGGGACACGCATGGGGACATGTGGGAACAGACGTTGGGACACACATGGGGCACGGGGACATACATCATGGGGCATGGGGACAGGTATGGGGCATGGGGACACACATGGGAACACATATGGGGACACAAATGGGGCACGGGGACACACATCATGGGGCATGGGGACAGGTATGGGGCATGGGGACACACATGGGAACACATATGGGGACACAAATGGGGCACGGGGACACACATCATGGGGCATGGGCACAGGTATGGGGCACGGAGACACATCATGGAGCATGGGCACAGGCATGGGGACACACAAGGGGACACAAATTGGGCATGGGGACAGGCATGGAGACACATATGGGGACACAAATTGGGCATGGGGACATACACATGGGGCAGGGGGACAGGCATGGGGACATAGGGACAGACGTGGGGTCACACACAGGGACAGAGAAAGAGACACAGTCAGTGCTGGACACCAAATGTCCCCACTGCCCTCTCCCCATGTCCCCCCACCCCATCCCTCCGTCCCCTCGTGTCTCCATTGTGTCCCCAGTAGCCATCCCATCTCCCTCCCCTTGTCCCCTGTCCTCACCATGTCCCCACCACCCCCACCCACCCACCATCCCCAAGTCCCCATCTCTACATGCCCAACGTCCCCATGTCCCCACCATGTCCTTGTCCCTGTATCCTCATTATGTCCTCTCCCCACGTTCCCACCATGTCTCCACCTCGTCCCCAGCACCCATTCCCAAGTCTTTGTCTCCGTGTCCCCAGTCATGTCCCTGTCCCCATGTCAACATTAATCCCCATGTCCCACCAGGTCCCTACCTCCTCATCCCCATGTCCCCACCAGGTCCCACCATGTCCCCACCTCTGTGTCCCCATCACCATGTCTCCAACATGTCCCCATGTCTCACCATATCCCCATCCCCATGTCTCCACGCCCATGTCCTCATGATGTAACCTCACCGTGTCCCCAGTGCCCATCCTCATGTCCCCACCATGTCCTTGGCCCCATCACATCCCCAATGTCCCCCATTACTCCCACATGTCCTCCAGTGTCCCCCAGAATTCCCCACCACCTCCCATGTCCCCACCCACCAGTGACGCGGATGCTGACACTGAACTCCCCATCGGGGATGATGCCAGCTGGGATGTCCCCGGGGATCTCCAGAGTCCGACCCTCCTTGCCTGTGGGGGCGGGGCATCAGTGGGCCCGGATGCCTGGGTCCCCCCTCAAAATCTTGGGTCCCCCCAAAGGCTTGGGGGGGTCCCCCCAGCTGGACCCACCATCAGTGTCCAGGACGTAACTGTTCTCCTCCAGGTGCAGCTCCCCCTCGGGCTGCGGGAAAGGGGTGTCAGGGGGGACCCAGGCGTCCCCGGGGGGTCCAGGGGGGACCCAGGAGTTTGGTGGAGACACACAGGGGTGGGGGGGGTGTCTCACCTCGACATGGAGGACACGGGTGATCCTGTCGCCCAGCCCCCAGGGCCCGCGAGCAGTAACAGTGACAGGGACATCCCCGGGACGCAGGGCCACCAGGGTGAGGGGCAGGGCCACCGTCCCCCCAGGGGGCACCTCCAGGTGCCGGGGGGGTCCATCCAGCCCCGCACAGACCCCTTCAGCCACCGCCAGTGTCACCGTCACCTGCGCCACCACCATGTCATCTGGCAGCCATGAGGTGGGAGGGGGGGGAAGGCTATGGGGCAGGGAGGGCTATGGGGCACCAGGGTGATTGTGGAGCATAGGTTGCTATGGGGCACAGGGGATCTATGGGGCAGAGGGTGGCTATGATGCACAGGGGGTGGTGATAAGGCAGAGGGTGGCTATGGAGCACAGCAATGGCTATGGGGCACAGGAGGTGGCTGTAGGGCCGTGGTTTGCTTTGGGGCAGGGTGTGACTATGGGGCAGAGGTTGGCTATGGGGCACAGGGATGGCTATGGGGCACAGGATGTGGCTGTGCAGCAGTGGTTTGGTTTGTGGCAGGGGGTGTCTATGGGGCAAGGGTGGCTATGGGGCACAGGGATGGCTGTGGAGCTCAGGAGAGGGTCTATGGGGCACAGGGGGGTAGCTATGCATCAGGGGGTGGCTATGGGGCAGGGCAAAGCTATGGGGCACAGGGGGCATCTATGGGGCAGGTGGCATCTATGGGGCATGTAGAGGAATCTCTAGGGCACAGAGGTATCTACTGGGCAGGAGAGCATCTATGGGGTGGGGAATATCTACCAGGTTGGGGACTCACGTTGACACCGTGGGGCAGTCTGCTGTGAATGTGGGGCAGGAGCTGCAGCTGCTCGTGGGGGCGGGTGCTGGGGGGCAGCTGCAGGGCCACATAGAGGTCTTGGGTCACCGTCACCCGCTGGGCCACCGCCACACACAGGCCTGCCAGCGCCGCACCATGGGGTGGAGACATGGGGACATGGGGACATTCAGGGTCATGGGGACACATGAGGATATGGGGGAACATGTGGGAACATGGGAGACATGGGGGGATATAGGAGACATGAGGGACACAAAGGGACATGGGGACATAAGGGGACATGGGGAGAGATGGGGGGAACATGGGGGACACAAGGGGACACCATGGGGACACGGGGACACGGCTCCTTGGAGACATCATGGGTGACATGGGATGGTGGCACCACCTTGGGGATCACTGGTGCCTGGGGACGCCACAGGGTAGGTGGGGACATGGAGTGGCCACATCACAGTGGGGTGACAGGGATGTTGGGGACAAGGGGGTCAGTGGGGTGGGTTGGGGACATGGAGACCCCATGGGGAGATGACACTGTGGGGACACTGAGGTGACACTTACCGTGGCCAGGGATGACTGCGATGGCCTGGATCTCCCAGGTGGTGATGGAGTCGGGAAGGAACACTGTGAGACTGGGGACATGGGGGGGACATTAGGGACAATGGGGACACGGGGGGTGTGGAGATGTGGGAACATGGAGGCATGGGGGACATGGGGACATGGGGGACATGGGGAGACACGGGGACGGGACACAGGGGACATGGGGGACACAGGGATGTGGGGATATGGGGACATGGGGACATGGAGACATGGGGATATGGGGACACAGGGACATGGAGACATGGGGACATGGGGACATGGACAGGGGACATGAGGGATATGGGTTTGGGGACACAGGGATGTGAGGACATGGGGACATGGGGACATGGGGACATGGTGTGCATGGGCTTGGGGACACAGGGACAC